GAGGGTAGAGAGAATAGTGCAACAATGAATGAATGGAAACCCAAAATCTCTGTAAATGTTTATGAAAATTAATAAAATATAGAAAAAAAATAAAACTAATCACTCAGTACAGAGGTGTGCAGTTCAAATCCACGAGATGCCTGGCTGAAGAAGGAGGGACAATCTCCTCCTGTACTAGTCAGATCCAATTTGATGGTACATACACAAAAAAATAATAAAAAATTAAAAAAGTTCTTATAAAAAAAAAACCCATACAACTAATCACTCTTACTTTCATTCTTCCTTGAATACTAATGATATGAATCCAGATATTTAGATACACATGCTAGTGGTCTTAAAGAACAAGTAACACCCAATTCAGACGTTAGTTACCCAAATCAGGCAAGGGAGGAAAGAAAATACATCCCAGAGAGAGACCGTGATCATCAAGTTTCTCAATTAGTTGAGATACCCTCCAATGATAATAAAGTGTTTCCAATGTCCTTGAACTCTTTTCTCTATTATGCCCCTGTGAAAGAGAATTTAAAACTTGTTGTTACATTGATTCTGTTACATTGATAATCACCCTACATGAAAGAGTGGAACTGCCCTAAAAAAATTCCAAAAGCTGTCAATCTTTACAGAAGCTGTATCTTTCTTCCAAGTAGCAGCTTGGTGAGTTCAAACTTCTGACCTTTCAATTCACAACCAAAGCCTTTGTTCCAGGAGGGTTTTCTCCCGTAAGGGAATACTATTTCTAATTTTCATAAGAAAAGAAAAGAAAAAAGAAAATGAGATACCAAAACCATTATCAGGACAGGAAAAGAATATCAAGTCTGATGAAAAACTCTGTCTATAAAAGTTAAGTGACTGCCAGCTAATATACTGCCAGGTATATTTTGTTGTTGTTGTGTGTCATCGAGTTGCTTGCGACTCATAGTGATCCTATGTACAAGAGCTCTAAATGCCGTTCTATCCTGTGCCAACCTAGCCATCTCAAACGCACTTATTCCCACCACTCCACTCACAGAATCGATCCATCTCACCAAAGGTCTTCCTCTCCTTCGCTTCCCCTCCACTCTGCCAAACATGATGTCCCTCTCCAAGGACCAGTCCCTCCTTGCAACATGCCCACAATATGTCAGACGAAGCTTCAGAATCCTTGACTCCAATGAACAGTCTGGCTTCAGCCGGTATATTTAGCAACACTTTATTCTGTGTTCTTCCAGGTGTGTGTGTCCATTTTGTGAGAAGGAGTTGGATGAAGACAGCTTGCTAGATCATTGTGTTGCTCAGCACAGATCAGAAAGGAGATCTGTGGTAAGGATTTTTGTCACTATATACATTTTTCTGGTTGATTTTCACTTGGGCACTCATACACATTTTGTTTTATAATGATAATTACCATTGTATAATGCAAATATTTACAATATCCTGTTAAAGCCACGCTGTATTCTCACTTTCCCTTTGCTTCCCCATCCATTCTCTAATCTCTGGTCTCACCTCCTCCTCTCCCTTCTCTGTGGATAAACCTTCCCTTATTCCCCTCACCCCTCCTCTCTTCTCTTATTCTCCTTCTCAACCCTCCTATTTTATCAGTTCCACATGTCCCATTCCAGATTGTTAATTGCAACACACATATTGTTTGTTCATTTGTTTCAGATTTATTTTTCTTCCCCTAATACACCAGCGTTTGTTGTCTCTCCATTCTATCCCTGTTCTCCCCATCCCCATCCCCCTCATCTCCTTCCTGTTTTTACTATCAAGGTCTTATATAGTATCTGCCCTTTTGTGACTGAGTTATTTCACTCAGCATAAGGTCCTCTAGACTCATCCATGTTGTGTAGTTCTTCATTGTTTTTAACACTGCATAGTATTATGTATTTATATATTATAGTGTTTATTGTTGTTGTTGTTAGGTGCCATCATGTCGTAGATGGCTCATAGCAACCCTATGAACGAAAGGCCTGAGCACTGTTTGTACATAGAGTTTCCGGAGGCAAGCCATTTTGGAAGTGGATGCCACTCCTGCTTCCAGGCTTGTTTTAGTTGGGAAGCTCCAGCAAACACTGTCCACCATGGGTAACCATTACCACATTTGGCACATCAGTGTCACAGTATAGTATTTATCTTTTATATAAATATATATTCTTCCCCTTCCCCCATCTCTCAGTTACTCTCCACAGTAGTGGTCTTATATAGTATTTGTCCTTTTGTGACTAAGTTATATACATTTTGTGACTGAGTTGTTTTGATATATTGATCTCGGTTTTTTTCCAGTTCTGTCCACTTTGTCGTTTAATACCTAATGAGAATGCCAACAGCTTCAACGGCAGTTTAATAAGACACTTACAAGTCAGTCACACTTTGTTTTATGATGATTTCATAGTAAGTATACTGTCTTATGTTAACATTATACTTTCATACTGTCTGTGTTAAATTTAAAGAGACCTAGTAGTGTAACATGTTGATCTGCTACCTAAAGGTTTAGAGCTTTGAATCCACTGGACTCCCTACAAGAGAAAATAATGCAGTCTGCTCCTGGTCAATTGCAGAATTCAGTCAGGACGATTTCCAAAATGCTCACAGGCACCTCAGCCTTGAGCTTTGCAGCTTAAGGACAGTGTTACGAAGTTCTCAGTCCTGCCAATACTGCTTTACCTCCCTCCATCGCACAGTGGTCCAGCATCTTGGGCAAAGGCTCTTAGCTTAGCTTGGGTTCTGTCTGGGGAGGGGGCGGGTAGCAGTCTCAAGGTAGCTCCATTGAATTTTGACTCTTTGGTCCTCTGCTTCATCACCTGTGGGTGGTGTTGCTCTGGTCCCGAAGGATGAGTTGTATTCTCTTCTTTCTCCTCTGATGGTGAGAGAGATATCTTAATTCTACTCTTGAGTCCACTAAATTTAATGGTGAGACTAGCCAATCTCCTTGTGGATAGGCTAATATACCCTATTTGCATTTTCCCACCCATCCACATGGCAAAATCAAGTTTAGCCATTTTGAATAATAAACTGCACAAAAGGAAAAAAAGTCTATGAACGATTGAGTTAAAACCCACTATTATTTTCTGTAAATTTAATTTTTCTTTTCAAAGGAAGGGAAAAAGTAGGGCAAATGTTAATAATTTACAAAAGTAGGCAGGGTTCTATAATAAAACTTCATATACCCAACAGTTGACATTAAAAACTCATTCTTTATGACTAAAATGACTGCAATTAGATATGATATAGTTATCAATTGTTTTATCCTCATGACTTTATTTCTCATTTTCAGAAATGGTAAAAGTCAGGAAAGGTTAATGTAGCCCTTGCTCAATTGTAGTGCATATATTTTCATGGGAGGATGATAAATTGTTCCCCAAGCCGTTTTCAGTTCATCCCTTTATAGACATGTCTACAATGCAAAGAGGTATTGACCATAATGGGAGAAAATACCTAATGATCATGATTGCTATATTTACCATTAATTTTTTATAAATATATGAAATATTTAAGGGTAAATAGGAATTTATGTAAAAGTTTTATGCAATTGACTGTTTTCCTTTTAGGCAGTTTTAACAGAGATAACATTTAATTTTTTTTAAAATTTATTACTGATTTCAATGAAAATTTACAGAGATTGGATTTCCATTCATTCATTGTTGTACTTTTCTCCCCTCCCACCCCTCACCCCTAGTATACTACCCTTTTAGAAAAAGAAAAGAAAAATTCTTTCATTGTTTTACAATCCTCCCCCCAGGTCTATTCCACTATGCAGCCTTTCATCTGAACTCCTATCATGACAAAAATACCTAATCACCTATCACTCTTAAACAGTTTTCTCCCTCATCTGTTTCAATGCAGTATATATACATTATTGAACCCATCTTTCTCAGTCTACCCCCAACCCTGAGGCCAGTCCTGTTTTACAACACTGGTACCATGCAGTATTTGTCCTTTTGTGACTGAGATACTTCACTCAACATAATGTCCTCCAGGGTCACCCGTTTTGAATAATGTTGCATGAGTTCCTTGTTTTTCAATGCAGTGTAGTATTCCATTGTGTGAATATACCACAGCTTCTCTATCCATTTGTTTGTTGATGGGCACTTAGGTTGTTTCCAACTCCTTGCTATTGTGAACAAAGCCACGATAAACATGGGTGCGCATAAATCTGCTTGGATGTCAGTTATGGTCTCTTTGGGGTATATTCCCAGTAGTGGAATTGCTCTGTCAAATGCTATCTCTATTTGCAACTTTTTTGAGAAAGTGCCATACTACCTTCCACAGTGGTTGCACCAGATAACATTTAATATTTTAAATGCTTATGAAGAACAAAGCAGTTTGACCTGAATTGTAATTTGATTTAAATACTACCTACCAATTGGATCAGATTTTGTTGTTCTTCTGTGACATCAAGTCAGAAACAACACATAACTGACCTTCCTGAGAGTTTTCAGGGGCTGTAAAAAAAACAAAAAGATTTTCCCTCTTTATCCCACAAGACAACTGGTAGATTCAAACTGTCTTTGGTTTGGTGGCATACTAGGTACCCACTGGGCACCAGAGCTTCTGATATAGAATTAGCATCCCTGGTAGCACAGTAGGTAAACACTTGACTGCTAACAAAAAGATCAAAAGATTAGTTGTTCAAACCCACCAGCTGCTCTGCAGGAGAAAGATATGACAATTTACTTTCATCAAGATTTACAGCCTTAGAAATGCTAGTGAGCAGTTGAACTCTGTATTAGCAGGTTGCTGTGAATCAGAATCAACTCATGGCAGTGGATTGGGTTTGTTTTTTTTTTAATGAAATAGAAAATGGAATAATTTAAAAAATTACTGGACATAAATGCTTTAGTTCATAGTAAAATAAAGGTATTACTGAGACTCTCCCTTATCTTTCAGTTTCTGAAATACTCTTGACTCTTATGATTTTTTTCCCTTTATTTATAGGACTTTAATATAATTGAGGAAGCTTTGATCCGAAGAGTCTTAGACCGGTCCCTTCTTGAATATGTGAATCACCCAAACACCACATAATTGAATAAGAGGAGGAGATCACATAGTAGCACCATTTTTTGAGATGCTGCTTGGACAACTGGAGGGGAATTGTCAATGTTGGATGGGGGCAAAAATGTCCTACGCAATTACATGTTCGTACGTGTTTTCTGCTCTGTTGTGTTTTAAAACGGCATCCATTGTGATAGTTTAATCTGTTTTGTTTTTTAGTTTCTTGAATATTTAACAACAAAAATTAGCCACCAACCATTAATATTATAGCCTAGAGCACGAGTCTGAGTACAGACATGCCCAGGTTATGAATATCTGCCTTACTGACATCTTCTGTTTTCCCTTTAATGTTACGTAAATCTGTCCACTTTAAAACAATCTTACTTGAAACAATTCATCAGAAACATCTTTACTTTATAGCAGCTTTTAAATCATTGGAAAGTTTTTCAGTCTTTTTCTTTCACTAAAGCCCAGTTTAAATAAGAGCAGTAAGCACTTGTTTCAGTTTGCCTACAAGTTGTGCTTAAAGACACACTAAACAACGGATCTTGTTGAAACTCAAAAGCTCTCTCTCTATGGGTCTTTATTTGCAAATGATACTGTGTAATGCTGCATATCTATGAACTACTATGGAACTCAACAATATATAGTCTAATGATAAGGAGTTGCTCTGCCTGCCCAAGACAAGCAGGAAATTCGAGTTCACTGACTGCTGTATAGGAGAAAAATGGCAATCTCTTCCCACCGGATTTACAACCTCTACAAACTCACCAAAGAGGCGGCTATGAGTCAATTTTGACTCAAAGGCAGTAAGCTGAGTTTTTGAGTTGATGGTTGGACAGGATAATTTTTGTGTTATGTAAAAAGGGAAACAATGTGGACATTCAAGGAAATACTAAGTATGTCCAGTACTCATATTCTGGTTGATAATAGAGTAACATGAATAAACTTTTATGGAAATAAGGAAAAGAAGTCAGAAAAGCCTCTGTCATCCAACTGTATTACATAATTCTGTTACAAAATTACTTTTGTGATACTGAATGTATATGTAAGTCTTTAACTTCTTATATGCACACTTAAGAATTAACATTGGGGTTTTTTTTAATTGTAGCTTATTATTTCGAAATAATTCTATAAGGTAGATGATTTCTTAAGAATCATCAGCTAATATTTAGAAGTAGCAGAACTCAAAATGATAAGTTTTAGTGGAAAACCATAAGAATTTTAATTTCTCTTTTAAAATTAGCCTCTTAAAAATTATGAAGTAAAATACAAATACTAGACTGACTTAGACACAAAATGTATCACTTGATACATCACTATAAGAAATTTCTTTAGAATTCTGCCAGCTACCCAGTCTCCTCCTTGTGCTGTCATGAAAGTAAACAGAACAGTGATTTCCATAGTAATAATTTGCTTTATTACCCACGTGTGTATCTTTACTCTATTTTAATGCTTTTCATTTTAATCAGATTCCCCTTTCTTCCCTTTCTTTTCCTTGTTGAAGAATTCAGGTCTTCTGACCTACAGCATTTCCCGTAATTTGTATTTTGCTGACTGCACACTCATGATGCAATTTAGGATTTCCCTAGATATTCACGTGTGGATCCAGGGGTTTGAGCAGAATCTAATCCAGTCCTATCAAGACTCTAAGTTATGGCATGTTCTTTCATTAGATTCTAGTTTCTGATTCTTGTTTTTATAATGGTAGCCAGAGTGGATTGCCTAGATCCATTCATCACTGTTAAAGAATATTCTAATTGCATCATTTCTTTTTCATTTATTAACTGGGATAGTTTCTTTTTTAAAAATTTTATTATTTTTTGAATGTGTACCATCAAATCGGATCTGACTGGTAGAGGAGGAGATTGCCCCTCCTTCTCCAGCAGAGTGTCTGGTGGATTTGAATTGCGCATCTCTGGTATTGCAGTGCAGCTCTTTGCCACTAGGCCTCCAGAGCTCTCTATTAACTGGGATATTTTCATAAACAGATGCTTCTCACAACTATTAATTGGTTAGCCAGTGGTAAAGTTCATGTAAGAAAGAGAACATACTTGATAGACTTCAGATTTTATCTTTTCTTTTGGTAGCAAATAATTCCGTGTGGTTGCTTTTTATTTTTCTTTTAAATGTTATGAACTCAGGAGTTGAAATATATTTCATGGACTTCAATCCCTTGCATATGCTACTGTATTGAAGCTCAGATTTTCCCATCTTTGGCCATTAGGAGATTCATCCACCTCAGGCTGAAGTCCTTATGACACTACTGTTGTCAATCGTTTGTCATTTCCTTGCTTTCTTATATGGCACGTTGTTCCAGAATCAACTTACATATTTCCTAAGACACCAGACCAGAAATCGGCTATTTTACATGTTTGTAAAGATAAAACAATTCATGAGCTTATTTTGATACTTATAAATCACTTTCAGTACTACAGGATTTTTATTTGACCTCTTTATTACAATATTATCTCAAGCCTTCTCAACAAAAATCCTGGTTTTCAACCCCAGGGTATGATGTTAGACTATCCTACCTGTACTCATTTTCCTATCTACACTGTACCTGTGACAGTCTCAGAATAACAGCATGGCGGTAACTATATGAGAAAAGAAATAGATAAATTTTTTATTTACTCTTTCCTTTCTCCCCTATTTTTAAAATAGTTGTACTATGTCAACATTTTCAGAACATACTAATATCACAGCTTTTTATACTCTTGTCTAGTCTTACTGATTTAAGTAATTATGTATTTAATGCTTATCAATCGTCCTTATTTACTGGCCCTGATTATATTTCTTTAATAATAAATTTAGGACATAGATTAATAGTTCTTTTTTGAAAGAAAGCAAAGTAAGAACAATTCCTGACATGTAGGTGTTATTTTGCTGGTGTTAACTTTTTAATTCCAGTGTTCTTTTCGTGCTGCTTATCCAAAGACTACTGCCAGCAGCTCAGGAGAAAGATGGACTATCTCCTACCATACGATTTACAGCCTCCGGGAGGGTCAGCTGTAAGTTCCAATATGAGGTCAAGGAGTTGAGTTGAATATACAAACGCATTTGTTCTTTACACAAAGTGTAGTCAGTCATGATGATGGTACCCTGGATTTTCTATAATAAACACCTATTCTTTAAATTCTTATTTATTGTTCTTCCTTCCTTGGTAATTTGGAAAAGGCCAAGCTGAATGAAATCTGGAGGATTTCGTATCCTCCCTTTCAGATATAGTTTCAGGCTTGCTTTTCATAGCTGCCAACAAGTACCACCAGATTATTTGTTTCAAAGTTTCTTTTCCTCCGATTAATGGAGAGAAACTTTTCAGAGGTAATTAACAGACTGAGCATTTAGTCCTCGAAAATTAAAACCTATTTCTGAACATTAGGTGTGGTTTTCTAGACATTGCTGTTGTGTGCCGTCAAGTTGAGTCCAACTCATAAAAACCCTGTGAAGAGCAGGTCTGGACCCTGTTCTATCCTGCGGCGTTCTGGCCATCTCTGACATACTAAGTCACTGTCAGTCCGTCTCATTGAGGGCCTTCCTCTCCTTTGTTGATCTTCATTAATCGAGAGCAGGAAGAAAGTATCTTTAACTCTGTAAACCAGAAACTTTAACGTTATTAATAACTGCACTTTAAGTGACCCTCTGAAGTTACCACTCACTGTTGACCTCAACATCGCAATTCTGAATCCTGCTTCGGGACTCTGCTTGGGATAATTTCGCCACCTACAGGACAAATTAGGTGCTGGCACCTAAGTTATTTTGGATTCTAAATTACATTGCCTGACTTAGAGTTCTAGACAATTATTTCACTGTGCCTTTTACCGTTTGTAAAAATGAATTTATAATTCATTTTTGTTATAAAAACCAGTATTTGAAGTTGTTGACTACTAACAAAGATCGTTTCACTCTCTTTATAGTGCCTTAGGGTGCAATTTTTTTTTCAAGGCCTTATAGGAGGAAAAAAAGGATTCACATTATTCTTAAACAGCTAAATTCTCCTAACCCTATAGATATCGGAGGGGATTCTCTTTTTATGTATTTTTTTTTCTTTTTATGTATTTTTGATCACGTTAAAAGTACGCTTGATTTTTAATCTATGGGGGAAAATAAGATTTCCTATTCAGATCCTGTAAAAAGTTCCTGTCTGCAGTGATGTTGCCGCTTTGCTTTTACTGAGGCCTCCAGGAGCCTTGGTGGCACAGTGGGTAAAGCTCTCAGCAGCTATCTGAAATGTCCTTGGTCATTGTAATTGGCCAGTCTACAGGAGAAAGGTGGGAGAGTTGGCTAAAGATTTCCAGCTTCAGAGACCCGATGGTCATTCTACTCTGATCTCCAGAAGTCACTTTGAGTTCTACTCGATTCAGCGGTGAAGGTTTTGGGTTTGTTTCATTTATTTGGATTTTCTTTAATTTGATTTTCTAAGTGTTTCTCATCATAAAAGGAACATACTCGAGTTACTGAATGTTGCATCACATCATTAGTTGTACCCGGAAATTATTTTTAAAAGTCCTAAGGAAATGCAGTCTTTTTATTGTTCAACTGCAGAAATATCTATAATTAACTGACTTTTAAATATATAATTGTTTTTCTTATGTAAATATGTATTATTTTGAGAGCTCCAGAATGGCAGGACCATTGCTTTCATTAAAATACCTACTCTGTTCTTATGGATTGATCTGAGTCTTTTTTTTTTTAATATATACAAACTTAATATGCTTTTTTAGTTGTCATTGTTCAGTAATACTGATCAAAAAAATTATATATCTATTTAGGCAAGTGGGTCTTATTCAGGCAGCTTTACTTCCCAAACGATATATGATAATGTCTAGAGACAGTTTGATGGAGCTCTGGTGCCATAGTCCATAGCGAACTGTACTGCTAATCCAGAGTCAGTTGTCTCCAGCAGTTCAAAACCACCAGCAGACCCTCAGGAGAAAGGTGAGCAGCCTCCTCCCATTGATATTTACAGCTTTGGAAACCAAATAGAAGAATGTCGCTGTGAGTTGGAATTGGCTCCATGGCAGTGAGTC